ATAAAGATTTACAAAGATTTTGGATTTCCATTCATTCATTGCTGCACTTTTCTCCCTGCCCATCCCTCCCCACCAATTTGCTCCATTCTCCAAAAAGAAACAGGAAAAAAAATTCCTTCATTAGTATACAATTCCCCCATCCCTTCCCCCCCACCGCCTGCCCCGAGTACACTTCTCTGTGCATCCTTAATTTTGGATTCCTGTGCTAACTAACCATAATACTCAATCATATATCGCCTCTAATCTGGTCTTTCCCTCATCTGTTTCAATACAGTATACACAATTTATGCAGTTTTTTCTCAGTCTCACCCCAACCCTGATGTCAGACCCATTCTACAACAGTGGCACCATACAGTATTTGTCCCTTCGTAACTGAGATATTTCACTCAGCATGATGTCCTCCAGGGTGACCCGTTTTGAATAATATTGCATGAGTTCCTTGTTTTTCAATTCAGCGTAGTATTCCATTATGTGAATATACCACAGCTTCTCTATCCATTTGTTTGTTGATGGGCACTTGGGTTGGTTCCAACTCCTTGCTATTGTGAACAAAGCCACAATAAACATGGGTGTGCATATATCTGCTGGGGTGACAGTTATGGTTTCTTTGGGGTATATTCTCAGTAGTGGAATTGCTGGGTCAAATGGTATCTCTATTTGCAACTTTTTGAGAAAGTGCCATACCGCCTTCCACAGGGGTTGCACCATTTTACACTCCCACCAACAATGAATAAAGTTTCTCCACAACCTCGCCAACATTTGTTGCTTGCTGTTCTGTTAAATTTTGCTAGTCTTACGGGGGTGAGATGATATCTCATAGTTGTCTTGATTTGCATCTCTCTTAGAGCTAGGGATTTTGAACATTTCATTTGCTTGTTGGCTATCTGAATGTCTTCTTTGGTGAAGTGTCTGTTCATATCCTGTCCCCGTTTTTCTATTGGATTATTTACCTTTATCTTGCTGTGGTGCTCAAGTATTTTATAAATTCTAGCTATAAGTCCCTTATCTGACATGTCTTTACCAAATACTTTTTCCCAATCTGTGGCTTCCCTTTTTACCCTGTTGGAGAAGTTTTTGGATGTGCATAGGGATTTGATTCTTAGAAGGTCCCACTCATCTATTTCATCTTCTCCTGGTTGTGATTTTTTCAGGATACTTGAAAGACTCTTTATGTTATGTATTAGGACTACTAAAGTTCTTCCCAGCTTTTCTGTAATGAAGTTTATAGTCCTTGGTTTTGGTCCCAGGTCCATGATCCACCTTGAGTTGGTTTTTGTATATGGAGTGGGATGTGGATCTTGTTTAAGTCTTCTGCAGATAGTTTTCCAATTTTGCCAACACCATTTGTTAAAAAGGCTGTCGTTTCCCCACTTAACTGATTTCATCTCTTTGTCAAAAATCAGTTGAACATAAATAGATGGACTGATTTGTGGGGTCTCAATTCTATTCCATTGATCTATGTGTCTGTCATTGTACCAGTACCATGCTGTCTTAACTACCACGGCAGTGTAGTAGGATTTTAAATCAGGGAGTGAGATGCCTCCTACCTTTTTTTTCTATTTTTTTTAAGGAGTGCTTTGCTTATTCGGGGCTTCTTTCCATTCCAAATGAAGCTGGAGATTGCCTTTTCCATCTCGTTGAAGAATGGGATTAGTGTTTGCATTGGAATTGCATTGAACGTGTAAATTGCCTTTGGTAGAATATTTGCTTTCTTGATGTTGAAGGCTGCAGTCCTTGATCTTTTGCAGCAAGAGCTTCAGTTTCATAGAATTTCTATATACCCTCCACCCAGAGTTCACATTTTGCCATATTCTTTTAAACTTTTTCTCCCTCTAACCATCCATTTTATTTTTCATGTAGACATAATGATACATAATATATCTTCTACAGAAATTTTCATATGCCCACAGCACACTTAATAAAATCAGGAACTGAAAACAAATAACGTCCTATTTAGTAATCTGCAGACTTTATCCAGATTTCACCAATTGTCCTAATAATGTTAGCAACAGAAAATTCACCATCATGTGCTGGATTCGGTAGTCACGTCTCAGCATTGTTGTTACTAACTCCTATGTAATAGACCCAGACTTATGGTTACTCCAGCACAATGGGATCAGGTCACTTGTAATTCCTGAGGCTCTCTTTGCAGTTAACATGTTGTTTATAGGTACTGCTGAATATGACTCAAAATGCCCCTATGAACAACAGATCTCAATCTTGTTCTATCCTATGCCATCTTCATTTTTTCCGACGTGAGTCCATTGCCGCAGTCACTGTCTTAAAGCATTTTATTAAGGGTATTTTTTCTTTTTTACTGACCCTCCACTTTTCCAAAAAATTGTTCCTTCTAACAACATGGCCAAAGTATGTGAGACGAAGCTTCACCTAAAGAGCTCTCTAACTGCACCCTCTCCAAGATATATCTGCTCTTCTGGCAGTCCATGGGCTATTCAGTCCTATTCTGCAACACCACAATTCAAAGGCAAAGATTCTTCTGCTGCCATCCTTATTCATCTCTAGCATAGCAAGTGATTGGAAAGACCCTGGCTTGAATCAGGCATACCTTGATATTTATTATTATTTTTTTAAATTTTACATTGGTGCACCTTAATCTCTAGTAGTTTAAATGAAAGCTTGCTTTTTCTGTCGAGCAACTCTAACCACCTGAACCGCGCCACCTCGCATGCACTGCATTTCCCATAAGTCCTCACGGCTATACGTCATCAGTGAGCGCCGATTTTTGCTAGTGCAGTCTGATTTTGGAAGCCTGTTGTGGCGGCGGCATCATGGCGGACGTGCTTAGTGTTGGAGTGAACCTGGATGCCTTTGCGCAAGCTATTAGCGCCATCCAGGCGCTGCGCTCCAGCGTGAGTAGGGTGTTTGATTGCCTGAAAGATGGCATGCGGAACAAGGAGACTCTGGAGGGCCGGGAGAAGGCCTTCATTGCGCACTTCCAGGACAACTTACATTCGGTCAACCGGGACCTCAAGTAGGTACCGGGTAAAGGGGTCCGACTCCGCGCGTCTTTCCAGTTAGGGATTGTTTTCTGATTCCCTTGTTTTCCATCCTTTTCCCGTTCTCTGTAAACCTCTGTCTGCCCTTAGAGATACCTCATCCTCCACCCCCGCTTTCTCGTCTCTTCTCTTGGCCTCTCAATCTGGCTGTCTCCAGCCCCTTGGACCCCGTCTGTCATCCTCACGAGGAGGCCGACTGTTGCTATAAACTCCCAGTTCTCATTTAGCTTTTCATTTATCTATCATCAGTGCTCACCGTGTCAGATCAAACAAGACTGATAGGATCCAGCATGACCTGATCAACGTGGCCCTAGTTAATTAATTCACTAACATACATGGATCTGAGTCTTCATTAGTTCTATCCTCGACCCTTCCCGAATGTTAAAACAGGTCGTGAACTGTTATTTGTGCCTCTTCCCCTAGCCTTTCCCTCCTAGCTGCTCCTGACCCGTTTATTCTGTTTAATCTCACACTTAGCCAGTTTAATCACCTATGCTCACCTCTTCCCATCTGTTCCCACACAGTATGCATTTGTGATCCTTTAGGATTAAAGATTATGCATTTCCTTCCCTGTCTTACAGCTCACTTTCCTAATTTATGCTTTATAAATGTTGTTGTAAGGATTGAACGAGAGGATATTTGTAAAATGCCTTGCACATAGTAGGCACACTATAATGGGGCTGGTCTTTCCTAAGAGTTTAGAACGTCAGGGTTTTTCCCCTTGTACTTATCAGAACTGACTTAAGCAGAACAAGGTATTTGGTGAGCATACTAAGATTTCTTGAGTGGTTGAATCTATCCTACACCCCCTGTACTTGATCTCCTTAGAAACCAGATGGAAGAAGGAGGTAGGATGGAGGAGGCGGCTGTGGCCAATGATGAGTGCCTCTTTTTGCTCCCCCCCTTAAGTAGCTACATTTTTTTTTGTTGTTGTTGCTGTTGGGAGAAAGCCAGGGAATCATACACTCCCCACCCTCAACTCCTACTTCTACTTGCTGTTTTGTGGAGCAGTGCCAATTAATACTCTACTTGCTGGAGGAAATGCACTGTCCTCTTCTATTTTGTTTCTGCTTTCTGTATGATTTTCTAACCTTTCACCATCATAGAAAGTTTAAGATATTCACATCACCTTCTTTGCCTTCTTAAATCATTGCACAGTTGTACTGAGAGTGACTATTTTGTTCCAAAATTAATGAGATTTGAATGCTGTTCTTACAGAAGCTTCTCTAGTTGGCAGTTTGAGGCTAACCCTCTGAATGTGCCCTTGGAATGTGATTTTCCTGTTGGGACTTCTTTTATCAAGCTTTGGTACTTATTGTGCTAGAAGAAAATGTTTGACACGCCCACTCCATGGTATCTTACCGTTCTTTTTATTTTATCTCTTTTTTGTTTTGCTAAGTTTTGCCATCTATAAAGCATCATGTACAAATTTTCCCTCTGTAGATGATAAATAATCATAGTATATTCAGGTATTTGCTGTTCTGCCAGATATAATGATCTGCACAAAAGTCTGAAAACCATCTCCATGAGAAGCAGTTCTCTGCTACCTTTCAACATTCAAGAAAGTCCCCATTCTTCTGCAGAGAATTATTGGAGTTGTTAATTCCTCATGTTAGGAGTTATGCTATTGATTCCACTGCTATTTATTTTCTTCTTCTTTGGAATTATTCCAGAAAGTTCTGCTTTAAATTAATCTCCCAGTTACAGGTTTTTTGGATTGACCTGGATCTATTCAACTTTGCAAAAAATTATTCTCTTTAAGTGACTTCTTGAGGAACAATCATTGACAGTAGTAGGTGACTTTTCTATGGTGCTTTAGTGGACTCAGGCTTATTTACTTTGTTTACTTTTCAGTGAGCTGGAACGTCTGAGCAATTTGGTAGGCAAGCCGTCTGAGAACCATCCTCTCCATAACAGTGGACTCCTAAGCCTAGACCCTGTGCAGGACAAAACTCCTCTCTATAGTCAACTCCTTCAAGCCTATAAATGGTCTAACAAGGTAAGGGAGACATTAGAAAATAAAAAAGAGCCTTGGTGATACATTAGGTAAGAGTTTGGTTGTTAACCAGAGTGTTAGCAGTTTTAACCCACCAGTACTCTTGAGGAGAATGAGGTAGTATTCTATTTCTATAAAAATTATAGCTTTGGAAATGTGCACCAGTTCTAGTCTGTCCTTATTGGATTTCTATGAGTTGATTTGATGGCAGGGGGAGTGGGAACATAAGAAAACCTACCTTTCTCATAATCTAAGTTGCAGAAACTGAAGGTGCTATCTTAGAGTCTTCTGAAGTCTTCGAGGATTACTAATGATGCATTTTTGTTGTGTTCCATGGAGGTAGAGCTGACCCATAGCTGACCGACTTTCAGGTTTTCAAAGGCAGTAAATTGCATGAGAGCAGATGGACCATCGTTCTCTCAAAGGAGCAGCTGATGGATTCAAACTGTGTACCTTTGCAGTGCAGGAGAAGGATGGGCAATCTCCTGTGCAATTTACAACCTCTGAAAGCCTGTTGGGGGGTCAGCTATGGGTCACTTCCCACTCAGTGGTTCTCAACAACAACAATAAGAAGCCACCGGAGTTCTCTGATGGTGATACATATAGATACTTAACATTTCTAAAAATTCCAAGTTGAGAGTGGGAGCGCACGGTGTAGTTTGTGTATTTTTTCTGAGGAAGGGTTTGTCACTTTAATTATATTCTCAGAAAAATCTATGACTTTCTTAAGAACTGGCAGAAGAAATGTTTAGCCACTCCCATTGTTGATGTGTGTATTATCATTTCCCCTGTTAGTTGATAGAAGAGCATCACAAGAATATTGCTTGTTAGATTACTCTTTAATGACTATCTAATTACTTTAGATGCCATCTGAGGGAGATTCTTAACACGCTTCACAGAGTTTAATATTCATGTTTTATTCAGCCGGCAAGCCTGTGTGGCATAGACCCTAGGACAGCTGTACAAGGAAAACTAAACTGTAGTCTAAAAATAACAGCAACAATTAGGCTCGTAAGCTGGAAACAGTTTATTTACCCACAAGTTTCTTTTGTTTGGGTCCTGTGGGTTGTGCGTGTTTGCTTTTTCTGTTGATGAGGAGCCAGAATAGAAGCCTGGGAGGATGTTGGAAGCTTTTCTCAATACTGTCTCCCTAGAGATACTAATTTTTACAGTTACCGGTGTGAACTTCTTTGCCCTCTCCAAATATCCATAATCTTTCCCGCCTTTCAGTGGTCCTTCCCCTTTCAGTTCTTGAATGATAGGTGAGCCTTGATAGTTATTTTGGTGTGCATAATTTCTTTCTTTAATTTTTGTGTGTGGGGTTTTTTTTTGTTTTTTGTTTCATTGGAACTCTTGGAATCTGAGATCTAGGGATTTACTATGGAACACTTGAAGCTCATATGCATACCTTCATATTAGACACATTTCCTCCCAAATTCCAAGCTACTTGTGGCTAACCCAGGATGATCTAGGTAAGAGGGGAAAAAGACTTCACTGGTTCACTGAACTAAGTAAGGGAGTTTCTTGTATGAAGTTCAGCTCATAAAAATCAAGGTATTCAGACAGGCAGCAATCTGTCACTATCTTGTTGCCTTTAGACCTGCTTTCTTCTCTGTAGGCCTGGTGCTCGCTACATGATAGAAAAGAGAGCCCCTGGCTACTGTCGGCTTGGCTTATGTGATACTTAAACCTGGTAATCTTGTAGTGTCTAGTTTAGGCCCTAAGAAGGACTCTGGCTCTGCTTGCTAGGTGTTTCAGAGATGGAGAATTGAATCCTGGAGGAGGAATTCTCTCATGACTATCTCTAATCATATGATTATTCTAATCACTAGAGTTCTTCTGTTCATGAGCTCTTGTGGGTAAGGTATTGTGCTGCCAGCCCAGAGGCACATGGTTTGAGTCTGCCACCTGCTCTGAGGGGAGTAGATAGACCTTATCTGGTTAAATTTATATCTTCTGAAAACCTAGTGGAGGGTCAGCTGTGGGCTTCCAACAAGATGACACATAACAACAGTCACCTACGGGAAAGGAGGACTCCTTGGAGAGAGATCCTGAAAGAAGGGGATGCAGGGTAGTAGAGAAAATTCTACATATCTATTGCAGTGGCCACTGCTAGATTGACTCAGCCATACACAAATAGCTCTGTTCTCCCAGGGATGTCCAGTTTGAATTGACCTTACTTGTTGTCAGGGACACTTTTGATCATTTCAGCTTATTTTCCCTGGGAAGGACCTGCTGAGTGGTATGATTTATTTCTGGTTATTCATTGTGTAGAAGTTTTGTTTTTTGGCTATTGGACAAGAAAGCTGTGCTGATAGATTATGTGGGTAGGGGTGTTCTTGGAATAGGCTTAGAGTGACAAAGACTTTTCAGTAGTGGGAAGATGTAGGTTGGTCTTGAAACCACAAATGACTGTTTCAGTTGAAGTGATGACACTTTTCCTTTTGGGTGAAAGTGGTTTTACTTTTTTTTTTTATTTTTACTTTTAAAATTTTTTGATTATTAAAATTGAAGCCCCTGTTTTTGAACCCCTTCATCAGCTTCAAGGTGGATAAGAGGAAATTTCTTTAAGGAAAAGAAATATTACATATGTGGAGTTTCTTGCATTGAAAAGCTTCTGATTAAAAATACACTTTAGAAATACAATTTAGAAATTAATTTTAGGTGATCACTCCCTCCCACATGCACATCGTGAAGGGATTAGGAGACAGTAGGCATGTCATTGTGTGGTGAAGTTAAGCGGGTATGAAATGTTTTAAACCAGCTCTCTGGTACTGCCAAGCAGGGAGGTAGTTTTGGGCTACATGTATCATTGACCAAAGAGAATGCTGAGGTGATCATTTAGTTCAACCTGATGTTTTAGAGCCAAGCCGACTGAGGCATGGTGAACCAGCCCACTCAAGACTTCCCAGCTTAACAGACATTTGGATTTCTTAATTTACCCAACCAAAATGAAACCCGCTGCTGTCAAGTGGATTTTTACTTATAGGGACCACAGGGCAGAGTGAAATTGCCAGCGCTGTGAATCTTTACGGGCACAGATAGCATGTTTTTCTCCTGTGGAGCCACTGGTGGTTTTAAAGGCTCTCTTTTCAGATAGCAGCCTAATGCTTTAACCACCTTGCCACTACAGTGCTTTGTTTGAATTGAGTTTATTACCAGTGTTTTGTTTTGCTTTTTTTAAATTTCATTACTTCCTCCAAAACATAAGGCTTTAATCCTTTTTGGTTTATGGCTTTGATAATGTCCCACCTTTAACCTTAATATTTGGAAGAATTGGTGCATTCATGAATCTGTATACGTTTTACTAGTTTATAATGGCTTATTGAAGGATAGAGTTGATAAATGGGTCCTCAAACTGTTGCGCAAGGCAGACATCACTAATCAGCCATGGCACTCTGTCCTACTGAGGCCTTGAATTGGCTTAGATCCCTCTCAACTCAATGTCCTGGAGTTGGAGGCAACCACTGCTAGTTCAAAGATGGACTGCAGGTGAAGGATGTATTTTGTCATAGTAAATCAGATCCTGTTTAACTAATTTTTATTTATATTGTGCCTTACTCTAGAAAGGATCTAAGATGGGTTATAAAAATACATAAAACCCAGGAAAGAAAAGTAGGGGGGGGGTAAAAGGAAGAGGGAAAAGGATAAGAGTGCAACATGTACGTTTATTTAATAAAACAAAAAAAAGCCCCAAGATATAAACCAATTTTCTAATTTCCAGTTAGTGAAATGGAAGAAGCAAACAATTCTATCTGTTTATCTGGCCTCTTCTACAAATAAAAAGAGCTTTTTAATTGCTGAGGCTTTCGTCATTCATCATTTTACCCTCAGAGTTTAAATCAGTAAGTGCATTCATATATTAAGTGAAGTTTAGGGTAAGTTACCAGTGTCAGCTTTACATGCTGGCGGCTAAGATTTGACAGAAGTATGTGAAAGGCTTTGATACCAACTGTTATTTGATGAACTTTGTGTTTTATGTGCTCTTGGCCATAGAAAAGTCTCATTCATGCCTAATGACTAATTATTTTCTTTAGGGTATTTTGTAATTTTTGTGAAGTCAGTTGGAATATTAATTACATGGTAGTTGGCATAATTGTTAGAATAACAGTTAAAAATTAATCTAATCTAATGAAATGATGTCAAATTGCTGTGAGCAGCACTTTTTCTCGGCTGAATTGGAGAAAGAATTTAGCTTTTAAGTATTATTCACCTACAGATAATTGTTCTGTGGAAGGATGACAAGCTCTCTTGACTAGGGCAAAAAAATAATTGGCATCAATGCTGTCTCTTCTTGCTGTAAAAAAGACTGTGTAGATTCTATATCTGGTTTTTTATGTTCAGATACTCTGAAAGTTAGACTGAACTTATTCTGAAGGTCCCCTTCTTAGGATCCTTTGCTGAAGGTTTCCAGCATGCTGTCATTTGACTTTTATTTCTGCCTTTAATTTATCTTCATTTGTTTGCTGTGGAAGGTTACTTGTGTAGTTGCCTGGGAAAGCAGATTGAGACAGACTTGAGCTTTTTCTGGTGGTGTCTGTAGCAACAAAGATCCTGAGATGTCATGTCACGTTCATTTCTCCCTACACTCTTAATTTTTCACTTTCATTAAAGAACAACTTTATTTTATAAGAATATTCATTGGGAAAGTGTGAAGATATTTTCTTTGTTCTACCTTCCTGAATCATTCCATCAGAATCTGCTTGTTAAATAGCTTTGTTACTGAAACGTTCCTATCTCTCAAATTCATCTTTGAAGGCACTCTTTCAGTTTTTGTTTTATGGAGTTAATGGGATGGAAATTGTTTTAAATTGGTCCCCTTTAGGGACCTTATGCTCTTTGGAAGGATATTTAGATTCTAGTTATGTTGTTAGGTGCCGTTGAGTCAAGTACAACTCATAATGACCCTGTAAACAACAAATCTGAATCCTTTCCTGTCCTTTGCCATCATCAGCTTTGCAACACGTGAGCCTATGCTGAAGTTACTGTGTCAATCCACCTTG